AAGAATGAGAAAAAAAAAATTAATTAAATGTCTCCTGTATATCCTTTTAAAAATCATCTTTTAAACACGCTTATACAGTAGCTGGCTGGTACTGTAAGACAGAAATAATGATTGTTAGTTAATATTTTTTTCTTTTTCTTCGTTTTATTTTTTTTATCTAATTAAAGCTTATAGGCATCGCACTTGTAATTAGTTATTATACTACATAGCTACCAATACATAAGATATAATATGCCTATACCTTAAACACTAGTGGTACTTAAATCTGCTATTAAAATGAAAATGAAGAAAAAAAATCATGTTTTCTAGAATTTTTTTTTTTCTTTATATTTTAACATTTATACGGTATACTTAAATGGCGTCTGCATAATTTTCATAGTTTAAAATTAAAAATAGTTATTTAAAATTAATAACTGTAGGATATTTTATTTTTTTACATTTAGTTTACATTATTTAATTGTTGTGTTCGTCAATATATTTGAGTTTAGGATTTAGATAGGCCTACACAATTTTCTTTTTTCTTTTTTAACTTACATTTTCATTTCTTAATTTTTGATTTTATATAAATAACTAAATATATTATATAGAGTAAAGAATTAGAAACTATTTGGCCTCAGAAACAATTGATTATACCCTGTTATACTAAGATAATAATTATAAATGTAATACAAAAATTGTTGGGCTAAATTTTAATTTCATTATGATAGGTTATGTACTTAAATTCATTTTGATTCTTCCGGATATGTTCAAGCTATTAATATTTATTATATTAATATTTCCTAATAAAATATAAAATAAAGTTATAATTAATTTGGAATACAATAATTAATAATTTCTTTTTGTGTATTAGAAAAAATTAATGACTAAAATATATATTTTTTTATGTTTTATTATGCCATTATAAATAAAATATTAAATTAATAATACTGTTTGAAAATATTTTTTTAATAATATGAAATTTATTAGTCATATGTTTACGTATATATATATATATATAGTATATATATAGTATTATGTATTTTGTAAACAGGAATTAAAATATAAATTTAGTATAAGAATTAAAATTATATAGTTAAATTGCGTTCATCTTCTTTATATCTCATGCCAATATATGTATAACAATATGATGATAAGATTCACTAAAAGTATAATAATTTTTAAAAATTATATATACACATATATTATATGTACATGAGCTTGTATATCATAATATATTCAAATATTTCCAAGAGTAAAGAGAGAAACTGTCCAAGATAAGAATTTTTATTTTTTTGTATAAAATTCGAATTTAATAATTGTTTAAACCTCTTTAGTTGTGATTTACCTTATAGTTTAACTTAATTTTATAGGTTGGTTTCAAAGTTATGAAAAATTTTTTTTTTTCATAAGTCTTTGTAAGATAATAGGAACCGTAAATAACTCTTCTGCTCTTTCTGTTAAGAAAGTTATATCCTATAGTACCTTATTCTAATGCCTATTATTTTGTAAAAGTATTTTGATTTTTATATCATCATATGTAAAGACGCAAGTCAGAACATTTTTTTTCCTAATCTTTAAGCGAGTCAGGATATTTCTCCACCACCCAAATTCCTTACGAGTTTTTACTATTCTGCTCTAAACCCGTTTTAACGTCAACTGTGTTTATACTCGTATATACCTATATAGTTCAAAAATTTCAAATTGATGATATAATATTGTTGTTGTTAGGTAATTATTCATACTCGTATATTGAAAAACCAAATAAATATTTCAATTTAAATTTTTAACTTGAATTAACTCGAAACATAATATTTTGATTTAGAATATTTTACGTCTAAATTTAAAATTCCATATGAATTTGTATATATACCTACACAATTTATTTTCAAAATCTCGGACATGTCATCATCTTTTTAAATTACATATAATATGTATGTTAATGCATGCATAATACACACACATATATGGACACATTACACACATTGTGAAGAATAACGAAACAACCCAAAAATATAACTTCGACTTCCGAAATTTAAAGTATTTATAGCCAAGTGTAAATTATTATAGAAGACTAAAGAACATTGGTATAGAACTATTCTAGAAGTATATGAAAAAATTTTCTATATTTATTTTGTTACAGAAAAACTTTATATAATAGCATACAAAAGCAAGTTTGCGACTCTACATTTTGACTTATGTCATTGTTCTCGCAAATGTGTGCGATAATTTAATTTACTTAATAAATTTTTGCTTTAACTTTATTCTTCTTGGAACAAATGTCAATCTTCTTGAAAAGCACCCTGAAACTATACATTTATTCTTTTCAATAGGAAAATTTGATCTCTCTCGTAAAAACAAAAAAAAAATTTTTTTAATAAATTGCATGATAAACGATAATTATAGATAATAATTTAAGATAAAAATTTTTAATTTTTATATTATTTGCAACACCATATTCATAATACAATTCAAGTATACAGGATTCATTTAAAATCAAATAAAAGAAGTGTAAGATTTGTTTAACATTTTATAATTTTTAATTATAAATAAACATAAAAATTAAAATAATTTTTTTTTTCATTTAATTAGATGTAAAATGCTAAGAGCATAAAAGTAGTAAATTTAAAATAATTAAATATTTTTAATTTTTATTATTCTTGTACGTATTATACCGTAAAAATATAACATGTACACCATAGCTATTTTTTTATATTACTAATTATAAATATAATATTTTAGTGTACGATAAAAAAGTAAAATCATGATAGCATTTAAACGAAATTAGTCGAATTCATAGAGTTAATTGTTGTTCTTGCACATTGAAAGAATTCAAATTAAATTATATAAAAAAAGTTTTAATATTTAATAAGGATTAAATTTAAAAAGGTTGAATGCCATATTAGATTAATTGGAAAGATTAAAAAATTTTTGTAAAAAAAATTTAACTGTATATGCTTAATATTTCTTACACATTTTACAACTACTTACAATAACAAAATTATTTAAGAGCATAAAGTAATGTGTCATAATTTTAAAATTTCTTTCTTTGCTGCAAAACTTTAAATATAAAAAGCTACAATAATTACTTTTAAAATTTATTATAATGAGCAAACTAAGATTATCAAGCCGATTGTGGCAAATCAATTATATGATTTTTTCTTCCGGGACATAAGAATTTACTAGAAAATTAGAAAAAGAACAATATGACCATACGCATGGGTCGCTGATCATGGATAGCCAATTGAATACAGAACAAGTACATGCCCTAATGTTAACACTGTCAAAACAGATATATTTTAGTACTGGCTGTCGCCTAGAAAATAATCAATTTGCCAGTTGTTGATAGGTTGTAGTAATTAGTATAAAACTATATTTTTTACTAATTCTTCTATCTCTTGGAACGATTAGTCTTAATATAACAAACGTTTATTACCGAATTTCATGAGATAGAGACAACAAAACGATGCCATGGTGTTTACTATAAGAGTGTCCGTCATTCTGACTAACTAATCATTTAACTAGTTATGACTGCAGTATATCTGTGCTTCGATAAAAAAGAGATAATGTAATTTGCTTTAAAAATTATTTGAAATATATTCAAATTTCAAAATTTAGAAAAATATTTTTGTTTTTGGAATATTTTCGTTACTTAATCTAATAAATGAAATCAATCAGAATTTAAAATTTATTTTAGAAATATATTTTGGAAGTGAAAGTAAGTTAAATTTCTACTTGGTCAGGGATAATAATAAAAAAAATGCGGGTTAACAATTTTATTACTCTTATTTAGTTGGTTTAGTTTAAGTCGCCATGAGGGAAAAATCATCATAATTTTAATAATTAAAAATCTATTTTCCACTCAATTTAAAATTATTTTTCAAGTTTCTCCCTTAAATCTTTTGAAATATTTCCGAATTAATTTTTTTGTATTTAATTTTTAATAATTTTCATACATTTAAAGAAAATAAAATATTATTAGAAATTTATTTTTTTTTTTTCATTATACACGTTTTCAAAAATTTTATTTTCTTCTTTTAAATCCTATAGCTATAATATATAATAGAAAGCTTAATAATTACATGGTGATAACCTCAACTACTTAACCACAAAATGATCCGATTTTTTTTTATTTTTTTTTTTTTGAGCTGAAAATCAAAAATTTTCTATAATAAAATTTTAAGGTATTTTTTTTATAAATACAATATTTAAGTTTTTTTAATCCAATTGATAATTGAAATCGAGTGAAAATTAAAATTTCACAGTTTATTTCATTGAAAAGTAAAATTTTGTTCGTGAATTGTTCCTGAATAAATACATTACCATTATTATACCACATTTTTTTATTTTTTCATAAAAGTAAATTCAAAAATGGTGTGATAAAACTTCATTATTGATAGTTTTTTTTTTTTATAAATATAGTACTATAAAAATTAGATTATTGTTTGCATGAGTTAAAACATTAAAAACAACACTTTTTTCTGAAGGAAAAACTTTTTGTCTACACACAAATAATAATTGTAATATTCCGTGTGTTGTTGAATCAATTAAATTTTCACTATTTTTTAATTACATAATAAGGTAGTGAACATTTAAAAGTAGAAAAAGGGGCAGCAATAAATTGCAGACTAACAATATCGAGCGAATTCCATAGGCCTAAGTACAAAATAAGGCCAGAATACAATTTTTTATGGAATACGAAATTTCTTTTGTACTTACACTTAGAATTGAGTGATAATCTATATATGTTGGTGAAATTATATTGAATATATCAAATTATTGAGTCAAAATCAAAGTAAAAAACCTAGATCCTATCCTCAATATTTAATATAAATATTCATAAATTAAAATTTTAGTCGAAATTTAATGTCTTCACTTTCACTGAATGTCTTTTTACAAGTAACAAGTTTGCTATTGTTACACCACAGAATTTTTCGACAAAAATAAACCACAATAATGATTAAAATTTAACTATATGCTATTTTAATATTAAAAACAATTTTTTTTTCTTTAATTACTTCCAGGTATACAATAGGTACAACACTTTTTATTAACTGTAAAACCAGTAAAAGAATTATTATAATAGTTTGAAAACACAAAACAAAAAAGTATATATATAAAAAGAAAATGCGAATATTTAAAACAAGAAAATCTGGTGATAGCATAAATATAACAACAATAACATCAAATGGATCTCATCAAGGAACATGCCGATCAGTATCATCATCAATTCTATCAAATGCTAATATCGGTAATTTATCAATATCATCATCATTACCTGATTTACATGATTCACCAGTTATGATATTAAGTTGTACGAATTTAACACAAAGTCGTTTAAATTCTAATCAATTTCAAAAACAACAACAACAGCAACAATCAACAAATCATCAACAATCAACAAATCATCAACATCAACAATATCAACCAAAGTTATTACATCAACATCAAAATCATCAAAAATATCAATTTCAATCAAATTCAAATAAAATAATTAATAATGATAAATATAATAGTATAATTAATAATAATAACAATATTAATAAAAATAATAATAATTATGATAATAGCAATAATAATAATTTAATTTGTAATGAAAAAATTTTAAATAATCTTAATAATAATAATAATGATAATAAAAAATTAATATCGAATATTATAATTGGAAATACAATAAATGGAAAGACTGATATAAATTTACAAAATACTAGCAGCAATAATAATAACAACAATAATAATAATAATAATAACAATAATGATAATTCAATAATAATAACAACAAAGAATAATAGTAGCATAACATTAAATACATCTTCTTCAGCAATGAATAATACACATATTAATGACAATAATAGCAATAATAATAATAATTACGATATTTTATCAAAATCAATTAATAATTGTAATGGAACAACATCAAAATATTCTACTAATCGAAAATTAGCAACAACAAATAATCAACATACTAGTAGATCATTTTCAAATTCAACAACAACTACGACAACATCAACAACAGCTGCATCATATACAGATGAATCAACAAATAAAAAGAATTATAATGAGAGCAATGGTATGTAAAATTTATGGTTTTAATAATGGCTTTAATTTCCACTTTAAGTGAATCGAAAAAGTAAAAAAAAATCCCTATATGCTCGTATTATAATCGAGGAAAGCTAAAGAACATAATCTTGGATGCCAATTAATATGTCAATATAACTTTCTGCCAAATTCTAATTTCAATAATTCTTTGGCTACAGTCACCATTATTTAAAGGAGGCACCTTTTATTTCCCTTGAAATCATACCTCGGGAATAGTAAATTTGTTTAATTTTAATAGTATCAAATTCCAATGTGAATCAATACGTGATAAGAGCCAACTTATTATAAGTGTTAATAGATGAATGCAATTTGAAAATTTGCTTTCTAATTAAACGTCTTGTAAGTTTTAAGCGAAAATGAAAATATGCTTTACATACGACATGTAAATGTCACCAAGATATTTAATTTAAAAAATTTCTTTACACTCATTGTTCAAAATTTTACTTTTCTTATATGAATAAGATGTGACATAAATTTCCACAATATGTGAGATATCAAATATTCTAATTGTACATCATATAAAATAGTTTTTTCTACATATACAAGATTTTAGACCGGAACCTTCAAAAGATCTAACAAATTACATAAATATTACACCATAATTAATGATCCAATTTTAAAATTTCATCTCACAATCAAAACATACAAAATACATATATATACGAATGTGTAATCGTACTCTTAATTATAACCTATTTTTCAAATATTTATGCTTCCAATAAAGTCTTGTAGATTTATATGTATATTCTATTTAATGAACGTGATTTTATTTTGAATTGACTTCAATAACTTTTAGTCTGCAATACTGCATATGCCCTATGTAAATATTTGATATTCATGGTCACACATAAAAACATGACCACCTTAAAATTGAATTCTTAAAAATAGTTTACCTTTTAATTATCACCATTAAATAATTTTTTTTTTTAAGTTGTGAATTATCTTCTTCTTTTATTTTTACTTCTTGTTATATTTTAATATTGTACAATTTTCTTAATATAAAAGAAACACAAAAATAACTTAAAAAATATTTAAGAAAAAATTCATTTAAATTTTGTAGAAAAATTTCCAAAGAAAAGTGTTAATTAAACGTGATTAAAAGAATTGTTAAAATAGGTGAGATTGAAATTTGAGAATATATAGAAGAAAAACCTTAATAGTGTAAACCTTAACAAATCTTAATAATACAGCAATAGCTAGATAACTAAGACCAGAACAACTATTTGACGTATAAACTTTGACTATTTTTTCGATCTTATCTTCTTTTCAGATTGGTAACCCTATTCTTGAACTTATTCTTATAAAATTTGGGCACTGTGTGTTTCATTGGGCTATGAAATACGATGTAAATTAATTTCCAAGACAAACTCAATAACATTCTTTTAAATCCAGCAGGGTTTTACTTTTTAAAAAATTAACTTTGAAGGTTTGGCATTTTCCATAAAATTATGATTGTCATTTTCTAGGTCATATCGCATTTACCAAATTTAAAAATTGACACAAAATTATTTTTGATTTTGTATGGAGAAGTAGAACTATTACAGAATCATACAATAAATCTCCATCTTATTCCTCTATTTTTTAATCTTATAAACGGAGTAATTAATATATAATAACCTCCAAACAGACATTCGTATTCATTGGTACTTGTATAGTGAATCTAGTTAACTAATAAAACATTAGAACATTTTATCGTACTTGTCATATAGTTGATATCTTTTGTTAATATTTATTATTATTTACGTGAAAGAATACGTGTCCATATAAAAGATTAAAAATTACCTATTATTATAACTAGTAAATTTTCTGTAGAGTATACGTGAAACTAACCCTTAGTATCCCCGGTTATGTTTTGATACACTTGTATCACCTAAGGAGAGTGTTAGATAGCTAGTGTATCTAGAATACTGAACTTCCAATCGACATAGTCTCTTTTGATTGAACTTTAATTTAGAGGTATCGATGACAAACATTTTAAAAATTCTATCTAAAAATTGATTCGTGATGATAGCAATTTTTCCCATGTTTTCCTCTATAAATTGAAAACTGTATTTATACTTGAACGAGGTCTGTCCCAGAATTAAGTAGCCTAACGAAGAAAACACGAAAATTTTAACAAAATTTATTTTTATTTCTCCTTTTAGGTCGATACACTTTCGCCAGCGGTGTTGAATTGCTTCGATACCATTTTTATAGTAAGAACTGGGAAACTCTGCAAAATAGACATCAGCACCAGACTCTACCTCTCCTTTTGTAAAAAATCTTCTTCTGCCAAACCATTTTTTTCAAGTTTGGAAATAGAAAGTAATCTGAGGGGGCTAAATCTGGTGAATAGGGTGCGTGAAGAAGCAGTTCAAACTTCAATTCGGTCAATATCCGATGTACAGCACTTTTTGATAAGCCTAATATATCAGCTAACTCACGCACTTTCAATCGACGGTCGTCTAGTATAATTTTGCGGATTTTTTTCACCGTTTCTGGCGTGGTGACCTCATTTGGTCGACTAGTGCGATGTTCATCTTCACAGCTCGTTCGGCCACGTTTAAACTGCGCTACCCAATTTTTAATCATTGCATATGAGGGAGCAGACTCCCCTAGTGTAGAATCTAGTCCACTTTTGATACCGGCTGAAAATATTGAATGACATAACGATGACCAATTTTATTCATATTAAAAATTTACTGAAAAGTTTTACTATTAATAGTCGGTAATCTGAAAGGAAAAAAAAAAAAAAAAAGTGTGACAGTTAATCCTTAAAATGATAGGGCTTTCTGCCAGGCTTATTTTTTTTTTCAAAATTTTTGTGTTTTCTTGGTTATTCTACTTAATTCTGGAACAACCCTCGTATACTTAAAGCAATAGTGCTTAAAAATCATCCATTTTATTGTTATAGTCAAATAATAATACGTTGATGGAGTTTTAAATTATGAAATTGATATTAATAATTTTCTATTATTGTGTGAAAATATGTTTGAAAGAAAACAAAATCTAAAATTTTTAGATAGAAATGTCAAATTCAGGAATATTAGATAATCCTAATCGGTGTCACGAGAAACTGATACGATAAAGTACAAGCATACAAATTATGTTAAAACAAAACACTAATCAAATTTATCACACAATATTAATCTTAGAAATTTCCAGCAAGTTGCTGAAATCAATACAATTTTATGTTTATAGAATTCTAACAAAATATAAAGTGTTAAAATGTGTTTTTTAATTGTAATACAAAACTTAATAATCAAAAGACATTTGTATAAAATATATTCTAAGCTACTTTAGAAGAACAATATTATATTATTTCTGAGCAATTTCGAATATTGCGATAATTTTGCTCGTTTAATAAATTTCAACAAAATATTAGTATAAAAACATCATTTTATAATACACGTGTAACGGTATACAATTAAAATAAAAAACAAGTAAAAACGTTTCAGTCGGTTTAAACCGATTGAATTATACCCTGCACCTTTCGTTATTGTGTAGCAATTACTCGAACCTGTGAAATTATTTTATAGAAACTTCAAGGATATATCTGACCTATAATTGGACATACGACTGCCAAGTTTCATGAATCTGACTTTATAATTTTTCCAAATATTTAAAATTAGTTTTTGGAGTTGTATGACAAGTACCTGAACCTGTCAAGAAATTCCATCAAAATTTCACAAATATATCTGATCTATAATCGGACACACAACTGCCAAGTTTCATGAATCTCACTTTATTATTTTGCGGAATATAAAAATTTTGCTGTTGGAGTTGTATGACAGCCACCCGAACCGGTGCAGCTATCCCATTATAATTTTTATAGCATGTGTAGAATATAATTGGACAGATGTATACAAAATTTTATATTTATAGCTTTATTAGTTTTTGAAATATTTAAAATAAACTCTTGGAGTTGTATGGCAGCTACCAGAACCCGTTGTCCGAATTAGTCCAATAACAATAGGGTTGGCACCAAAGAAAAAACTTCTGAAAGTTCGGTGTCGATTGCATTATTCGTTTTTGAGTTATCATGCGATCGGGCGGACGGGCGGACAGACGTACATGTCTAAATCGACGCAGAATTTTACGCTGAGCAAGAATATATATATATGTCCATACCGCAGATGACTCCCTCAAGTAGTTACAAACTCCATACCAAAGTTAATATACCCTTCACGAAGTGCAGGGTATAAAAATTGGAATATAATATGAATGTATGTTTAAATTGTTAATATATGGCATTTATTATAAGCTCAATGATAATACCGTAAATTTGAGAAGCCCCTTTTGAAGTATGTACATTCAACAACAAAATATGCACAATATAGATTTTTTAATAATAAGTAATTTGATCGTATTAAAACGGTAAAAATAATGAGGTTTTAATATTTTCCCTTCCAATAAATCCAGGTAAATTTTATAATTTTATTATTTTTTTTAATCTATTTATGCCTTTATGGTTAATTATTTGTAATAAAAAGTATAGGATGAATTCGTGAACGATCGAAAACTGTCATCAAGTTGCCAAATTTGACTACGTAATTTTACTTCTCTTCATTTGTCTTCGTCAAAGCAAATAGAGTTACATGTGAGTATGAAATGAAAACCGTGTAAAATATTTGCGAAAATAAAAGTTCAGTTGTTTAAAAAAAGAATGAAGATGGCAGGGTTATAAGCAAAACTGTCGAATTTAGTGTGAATAAAAAATAAAATTTATTGCCGAATAGTCGTTTCATTCCAAAAAGGTCACTATGTATTGCCCGTTATGAAATAGATGTTTGCAAAGATGTTTTTTTAGTTGATGGAAACTAAACTGAACGTTTAGCAACTGAACGTTTTTATCTTCAACCATTGCCATGATGAATATGCAACTTTAAATAAAGAAATAAATAGGATAACCAGATTACGTAGCATTTTTAAAAATAATTTTTCACGGTGATCTTTTCTTGGTAATTTGCACGTGCTAATATACTCGAAAAAGTTTATTTTTGGGCCCATTATGAATAAAAATGTGTCAACAATCTGCTCAAAATGCATCATGCTAAACAGTATGCCATATACCACTGTAATATTAATTTCATATAGCTAATCTTCTTATAAATTATTTCAATATCGAACTGAACTTTGTATTATAAAAAATAATTTTCAAAATCAATTTTCATAACCAATTGAAATTTGATATTTAAAATTATTTTCAATGATCATGGTAAAAGAAAATTTACCGCCTTCTCTTAAAATTGTTTCCTGTTTCATTCTTTTCAATTTTTCAGCTTCATTGAAATTTCATTTAATAATCATTGTCTTGACAATCATCATCTTTATCATTTTCATCATCATCATCATCAAATAACATTCTGCCACCATATTGTCATCTAAAGTAAAATAATAATAATTATAATTTCTTTGAAATCATTCAACAACATTTTGCAAACTATATATTAAGTAGAGTTCTTTAAATTCATTAACTTTGGAATTACTTCCTTGTACGGTTTTTGTTAACTTTATATTCATAACATTCTTATTAGTTTTCTTCTTGTAATCTTAGTTATTTTGAAAGTGTTTAAAGGTAACAAATATTTTTATAAAAAAAAAATTACAATAATCTTTAATGCAATTTTATCTTGAATAAATAAATTTCTTAATAATTGATCTTAGGCAGATGTCGGATAAAAACTATTTTATATTGAGTTCAGAATTAATAAAGGTTGACTGTCAAGCAATTTATCATACTGGGCTTACTCTTTGAGGCATATATGCTAAATATATTTCAATAAAAAAAATCATGTGTTTTGACCCCCACTAATCGTGAATTGAACAATTTATTGAAATTTTCTTTAAAATCAGTTGTCGATTCGTGAAACTTATAGACAGTTGGGCCAAAGTCTTATCTAAACATGTATGTTGTAATATGTATTAAAATGCTGGCATATTGATTGAAACCAAAAAAGCAATTGTTATAGTTGTATTATGCACGTTCGTGAACCATTAGGTGCCATCTCATATTGATATTCTGTCAATTTATCTTCAAGCTTTCCATTTGATATCTCTAAATTATTGTTACAAAAATATTTGATTCACAGTTACAAAACAGCAATATTTGACACCTGGGCAATGTTTGAAAAATTCTCTTAAAATTATACGTCTTGATTTCCAATTGTGAATAAAATTTTTATTTAATTCAATTAATCTAATATATTGGAAGGCATTGTGAAAATTTGTGACCCGGTATGATAAACCGAATAAAATTTCTTATCTCATTTATGTATACAGATAATTTTTTTACTGTAATTATTTTACTCAGATTCTGTCGCCAAACCATAATTAATATGTGGAAATCATTCAAGCTTGATTTTTATTTATGTATACATTTTTTTATATATATACATACATATATTATATTTTTCATCAAATTTCAGGTCATTTGCCAGACTATAAACTAGTCACAGCTGTGCCAGTTGTTGTTCTTGACGATGATTCTCGCCGTGAATCGAAAAATAGTAAGTACATTACTTCTCTGCTTTTTCCTTTACTTTTTTTTTTTCTTAAATATTCTTAATTCTGATTAAATTTAACATGTGTTCATCGTCTTAGAAGAAATTCTTAAGTTTATTTTTTTCTGTTGTTATGTATATATACAATTGCTGCTGACATTAATAATTCCATTTGGTTATTGGAATTAGCATAAAATAATGTCGAACTAACAAAGATTCATGTTAAATTTAATACCTACTGTTTTTCATGTTGTTATGTACATATTATACTTATATATGTTCAATTGTATAAAATGTTCAAGTATGTATGTAGACAGAATGGATAAAAGAATTAAATGTTATATAAGTTATAAAGAGAATAAATAAAGTATGAGAAAAAAAAAAGATTGAATATGCTTTTAAAGAACGTGCTATGCATGCACAATAATTATGCAAGTTACTCTATAGCGCATAAAAACTGTATATACATTGAAAGTTATTGAATACCTTATAGCTATTAAGTAAGTAAAAGTACAAAAGGTAAAAAGAAAGAAAAGTAAAAGAAATAAGATCATTTTTAAGAATATTTTTATACACGTACATATGGCTGTATTAATCACATAGTACACATGTAGAGAGAAGAGATAGAAACGCATTTGTTGTTCTTTCACTATGACTAACTGAGATCGACACTGTCAATAGCAATTAGAAACTGATTGGAATTTTAATTATTATTGTCTTCGGGTTTTCTATAGTTTATTTTATTGTTATTTCAACTGGAAAAGAGAGAAAACAAAAAAAGAGAGAAGTTCATTTTAAAAGGTCATCTAAAAAGTATATGAAATAAATCGGATGTAATTTTTCTTAAGATGGTCAATTTTATTTCAAATTTCTAGTTTAGTTTTTTTGAAGAAAATTTTTAAAATTAAAATTTGCAATTAATTGAAGTAAATAAAGAATTTTTAATATAACTATGAATTAATAAAATAACTGTAATTAATTATTGTTATTCCAATATTTTTATATAGAATAAGAGATTTACGGAGATTATTTACTTGCCAGCTAATTTATTTAAGATTTGTAAAAAAGTTGGCTATAGAAAATAACCAAAATAACATCAATTCAATTAATAAGAAATATAAATTTATATTGAATTTGAATATTTTGATTTACAGTGAACTCGAAGTGATTATTTTATGAGACTTCTATGTGATTTCTAAACATTTACAACAGTTTAGTAATTTATGTAACAATGACTAAAGGCTAAAACCAACTATAAAGCATACTTTTTACGAATTTTGTTATATTTAATTAGCTATTAATTAAAAATTGCGTTACACTATTCACTCACCTTCAATTCAGTTTGATTTTATGGGGATTATTAAAAATCATTTATGTATTCATAGCTATATAATCTAAACAATTTTATTTAGAAATTGTTCATTTATTTTTTAGCATTTTATTTGAATAGCAATTTAAATATTTTATATGTGTACCTATATACATATTTACTAAAAATAATTATGAATTTAATAAAATCAATGAATTAGAAGTATATTAGGTATTTTAGCAATTCAATTTCATATAAAAACATTTGCATTGTATACATGTATATGTATGTGTTCGATTCAAATGATTTAATAATTGAATTTTATTTAAAATTAACATGAGAATTTATTAGACCATAACTTTGAAACAAAAATATATTTAAAAAAAAAAAAAAAAACATTTTCATTTTAATAAATTAAATTCGTTTATAAGAAAAACACTCCAAACAATTCAAAAACAAAAAAATAAAATACCATCATAATTGTTCATTTAAGACTTTAATTAATTAGTAGTTAAGATTTTCTTAACTACTTTATGTATTGTATTGCAAGGTTATTATTATACACACGTATACATAAACTCATACATACACATATGTATAATAAATTCGTGGTAAACCAAGTGTAAAATGCAATCATGTAATTAAATGAAATGTGAAGGTGATACTTAAAAGTGAAGTTTAATCAAATGAATGTATTAAAAATAATTCAAGTTTAAGTTTAATAAGTTACAATGTAAATTTTTACATTTGCATATATTAAAATATTTAATTATATGTTTAAGTATATGCACATATCTACGAATTAAACTGTTTAGGTAACTTAACTAAATTTAGGAATTAAATTTTTTAATTTACACTTTGAAAATATAAAAGTTCCCTTTCGATTATAAAAGAAATGTCATCGGAAAACATTAAAATAACGGCAACTCTTTTTTGTTTCTTTTTACCGCAAAATTACTGAAATTATAAAATTTGATATTTAATTTAAAAAAATGTCGAATTTAGCACTTTATTGACATTATTGTGTAATTACAAAACCTACCTGTTAACATTCATTTACTTTTTGTTTGATTAGTATTAAAATCAAAACTCAAATATAAATTTTTAAAGAACGAAATTGACAATTTTTAAGTATTAAGTTGTTAACGCAAATATTTTCAAAAAAAAAAAAAAAAAATTAAATTTGAATTAAGAAACATTGCATTTTTTTTTTTTTACAATTTAATCTACCATTCTATCAATGGCGCTATAAGTAAAATAAATCATTATACATATTTAAAACCTCTGGTAGTGAATTCATTAAATTTTTAAAATCTTAATACATACATACATAAGTAATTTATAAAAGAGAATTAGAATTAACAAGTTGTTGTAATCATGTACTATAGTCAGTGTGGGCAACACTGTCTTGTTTTTTTTTTTATTTTTTTTCGCTATGATATGCAAATTTTTTATAGTGAAATCATTGTATTTATTTATACATATTTGTATAATATATAAATTTAGCATGCAATCTTAAGTGAAATTCAATTAAAATTCCAAAAGTTATACAAGAAAGAATGAAAGGAGGTAGATATAAAGAAAACATTAAGAATTAAAATGCGATTTACAAAAACATTAAGAATTAAAATGTTAATTTTGAATTTTTTTTTTACATTACATTGCTACTGTTGTTCTATAATAATTTCACTAACGTTTTTTTAAAAGTTACTCGTAATATTGAAAAAAATAAATTGTCGAATTGACTTTTAAAAGATTTGAGATTGGAATTTAATGAAGTGATCGTAAGTTATTTTATTAATTTTTTTTTTGTTTTTAAATAATTTGTTTTAACAATATTTACGATATAATAATTAATTTACGATTTTTTTGTTGTAAAAAACGGATTTATTGGTTTACCGGCGTCAGTTTACCGATGAACTGATGTGTTTATTTTGATCTGAAAATTAAGATTTTTAACACGATCTTTATTTTTATGTACAGCTTCTTTTTCTCTCTCAAAAAGTTGAATCAACTTTGAAATTTGGTGCGGAGTTTTTGTTAAAATGCCAAATTTATTTACAGGACTAAATACAATTGCATATTATATTCTTGTCAGAAAAGTAATAAATCATAACAAAAAAAAAAAACTCTCAAATTTTTTGAGATATATACCAGTGAACCATCAAGAAAAAAAAAATTCGAATTCAAGTAGCCCAGTAAAAACTGACGAACCAATGAATTCGTCTTAACATGTTTTGCTTCGATTCACAGACATACTTACACGTCTTAACTTTTTGTCGAATCTCATGATATCACGTGACGTGATATATAAAACAATGATAGTTTCTATATATGATAGTTTAGAATATTCAAAATATTTGAAATGTGTACCTACGTACGTAAGTATGTCTTAATTGAATATTCTATTCTTTAAAGTATTCTTTTCCAATGAATAAACAAAAAAATGCAAACGCTATTCATCTACGTTTTAACAAATTGAATGAATCGTATAAATTCTATATTAATTGTATTTTATTATCCGAAATTTTTATTGTCAATAAAGTTTATTTAAAAATAATTCATAAATTTGGTTATATAATTAATCGCAATTGACATCTTTTATGCGTAAATACTAAACTCAAAATTAAAATTTATTAATGATTCTTCGGTTCTAGAATAATGAGCTTATTCTTACCATAATAAAATCATTAACTAAACAAAATAATTGTTTTTAGATCACCCAAAATAAATAGTCATTGATAAATTGAGCAACATAATAACATGCGCCTATATAAGAAAATAGGTAACCTAATAAATTTTTATAAAAACGTGTTCTACTAGTTTAAGATGCTGTTCTACCCATTTAAATAGAATCACTCAATAATCAAAGAAAATATAATCAAAATATTAAAATATACATTAGAATTTTTGATAATTTTAAAAATTTATCATATATAAAATCTTAAATCTTCAATTTATCACTAAATTTTCATCACACAAAATTTATGTTAATTTTCAAATTTTATCATGATGGCAATGGCGACATCTTAACAATTTAAGAATTTTTTCTGTAATATTATTGTTCCTGCACAATACGTTTGATATATGCGCCCATGTATGGTAAACTATATATGCTTTGGCACCATTTATTTAAAAATAACTTATAATTAAAACAAAACAATAAAAAAAAACAAAGTTTCTAATGAATTAAATTTTGGGAAATCAAGAATTTTATGTTATACTATACCTATGTATGTATGTATGAGTTCATATATTAATACAAAAATGTAATTTAATACCTTTGTTGTTTTATTAGAATTTTTTTTTGTTTTTGTTATTTAAGAATTTATTTAACTCCAATAAAATGATGATTAACACACATTTTGTCTGTGAATGAACAAAAAAAAACAAAGAAAATAGAAACTCACATCTTAAAGTCTTTTATAATTTTAATATTAATTTTCATTATGGAAATTTCAAGTCTGCAAAGTTAGAAATTTTTTTTAAAAAAACTTTTTTTTTAATGCTTTTTTAATGATTTAAAACCAAATTTATGAGTAGACCCTATTGTCTTAGAATATTCATAGACCTAATTATATTTTATGAAAAATTTAATTAATAGTATGCTAATCGATAACTTTAAGTATAAAAAGAATTTCTTCTTGCTTTAATATTTTAGAAAATTGGGTGAATGATAGTTCCGTGTTAAAGTGTT